GCAGAAAGCAACGGGGCCAAGAGGCTGCAGAAGGGGAACAGAGAAGGGACAGAGAGGAGACAGAAAGCAGCGGGAGCGGCACTGAGAGCAGAAAGGGACAGAGAGGAACTGAGAGGTGGCAGGAAAGGGGAGATGGAATTGAGAGATCAGGAAAATGGGGGACTGGAGTCAAAAGAGACAGAGACCAGGATTTAAGATAGGGAAGGGACCAGGGCTCAGTAAAACACAACCCAACTCGGGGTTACAAGTGACAGTGGTTTTATTGAACAGGGGAGATGGTGACATGATATCTTAGTGGTTCCTTTGTGTGCGCGCACACACAGACACACACACACACACACACTGGCGGCAGGGGTTAAAGAAGCTTGGTGCAGGGACTGAAGTCTGGGAGGAGAGAGAGTCCAGATTGGAGGAGGTAACGTGAAGGTGATATCGACCTATCCCAGGCTGAAAGTTGGTCCTCGATGGCCATTGGGGTCTCCTTCAGCTCAGTGTTGTCCAGAGGGGGTCGCCAGCAGGGCCTCTGGGGTGGATAGGCGATGTGACATGGAGTTAGTCTGGTCCAGATGGAGAGGGCATCCCAAGGAGTCAGTCTTCACTACCCCTTTTATGGGGCAGAATACCTCTGATTTCCTATGGTAGGGCCTGTCCAGGCAAGGTCAGTCCTGTCCCAGAGGGCTCCAGGTGTTTTTACTGAACATGTGCAGCCTTGGCACAATGGTGGGTTGCCTCATCTTTTGTTTCTTGAATGCTGAGGGTGGGTCCAAGGCCTGGGTCATTGGTCCAGGTATTGGTGTTGATGGTTTGGTCATTCAGAGGGAGCTATTTTTAGACCTACTGCCATTGTCTCTCAAGCACCCTCATTCATCCCCATTCATCCAGGAACCAATTTACATAGGAGGGGTAGGTATGAGTCATAGGTTACAACATCAGGGGATGCAAGGTGGAGGCTTGACATGACTTATGCTAACTTACATATGCAGGCCTAAAACAGTAATCACACAATATAAAAGCAGTAAAAAATTAATACAAACATAATACTTATCACTTATAAAACAGTGGAGGTCTATATCAAAATAGCAGGGCACTTATTTGCAAAGAGGGGAGAGAAAAATAAAATTACTACCTAAAATAAAATGTTAAAGCTTATCCTACATCTTAGCTTACTTATTATCTATAGGGAACAGAGAGGGAGAGGAAAAGTCAGAAATAGTTGGGAAAGGGAAGGGACTGCATATCTATCTATCTATCTATCTATCTATATCAAAAAGAAGAAGAGAAAAACAAAAGAAACTGGGGGTTATGTTACAGAAGCAACAAAATGTGTGGCTAGGAAGTACTTATTTGCCTAATAACGACATTGCCAGGGCCAGCCCCTGGGCAGGGCTGACCACTCCCAATCACTAAGCCTCAGGACGACACGTGCTGTATTGGGAGTGCTTCTCACACCCCCCACCGAGCCGCCTATAAAGGAGCGCTGGCAGGGCTCTGGGGCCACAGCTGCAGCCCTTCTCCACCCCAGCAGGTAGGCAGAGCTCAGCACGTTTACAGGGGAATGTGGAGGGCGGCTGGAGGGGGCTTTTCTTCTCCGTCTCACATATCATGTCTCTGTGAAAAGCATGTGGAAGTGCAGTTCTGCTCTGGGAAGGATGGTCAGAGGGAAGGACCTGATCCAGACTGGCAAATGAGATGGGGCACAGGCTGAATCGTGGGGCCTCAGACCCTGCCTGCCCTGCGGTGGCAGATCCTGCCAGGGGCTGATGGTTCCCACCCATCTGTGCCTCATCATGGCGTGTGCCAAACCTGGGAGGCCTCCCCAGGCTCAACCCACGGGGATGTTGTGAACCCCTTGATCTCTGGAGCCTGGGGTTAAGCCTGGAGCAGTGCACTGTCAACCTTCCCAGGGCAGACGTGCCAGCAGACCTGGGTTGATAGGCTGTGGCTGGGGTAAACTCCGACTGCTCAGTGCTGACAAAGCCTGGCAAAGAGCAGCACAGGTAGCCCCAGCTCCAGCAGCCACACAGCTACTTGACACCTCTGTTTCATTCGCGGCCTCTGTCTTGGCCTGCACAAGTGCCGAAGCTAAGACCTCTGCACCTGCCCACAGCACACCCCTCTGAGCAGTGGGGGCCTAACTGGTGCCCACCCAGCCTGATGATCCAGAATGGCACTGCCATGGGGCTGCAGTACCCTTCACAGCAGTGCCTCAGTGACCCAGTCCCCTGGGCGTGCTCTGAGCACCCCTAATTCCCCCAGCAGTGCTGCATACAGGGAAGAGCACAGCAGCTCTGGTCACTCACAGCCAGAAGCAGGACGAGCTGCCGGCACCTGCCTGTTAGAGACAGGCTCTGGAGAGAGCTGACACAGGCAGGGTGAGACCTGACTCTAGGCTATGCCAGCCTGAGGGTTCAACCCCCAGCTCTGTCCTGTCCACACAGGGCCCCAACCACCGGGCAGGGGGCGAGGAGGCACTGGGGGCACCCTCCACTCTCCAGTTGAAGCCGGCCCCTGCTTGGTCACAAATGCAAGAGGCATCAGGCAGGCAGAGTGGGGCCAGCAAGGAGCTGCCTGCACAGCCCCATGGCTAAGCCAGGAGAGAAGCACCCTGTGCACCCAGCCCTGCTCCAGGGGCATTTCTCTTTCTCAGCCGACCACGGTCTAAGGCACAGCATGGGAACAACATAGGGAGCAGGGAGTGGCAGGCAGGGTCCCTGGCCTGGGGGTGCTGGGGGTACAGGGTGAGCGTGGGGCATGGCTGCCTGTGGGGTGGGCACCCTCGAACCTCCTGAAGGGCTGACTCTGGATGCCAGGTTCCCTCCAAAGCAAGGAGAAGCTGCTGCTGTCAGAGATGGCAGGAAACCCCCAGGTCCGAGGGGATTTCACGGCCCCGGTGGGAATTTGGGAGACTGGCCAACCCTGAGAAGAGGTGATGAGTACCTCTGGCTGGGGAGGAGGGGACACTTGGGGTGCTTTTGTACCCACGCTCCAGGGAGGAAGGAAAGGGGGGAAGTGTGAGGGGTTTGCAATGACTGTGAGAGATGAAGCGAAGAGGCATTCTCCGAGGGGATTTTTCCAATCATTCAATAAGCACAAAGAGCAGTTAAACTTGTAGTCCATCATTTGCTCAGGCAGACGGATTCAGCTGATACAGATACATGCAGGGAATCAGCAGAGGAGCAAGGTGCTGGGTTTGCTCAGGCAAAGGCTTAGGGGCAGGAGGAGTGGGCGTTGGGGCTGAGCCTGGGAGAGGAGAGGAGGGGAGAGGGCCACGAGACTGCTTTTGCTGCAAGAGTGCAGACTCTGCCAGCACAATGCTGCCTCTCCCACTAAATTGGCCCTTGGGATTGATGCCCTGCTCGCTCAGCCCGAGACACGCCCCCCCCCCCCCCCCTTACAATGGCTTTTATTTCGATGCAGTCCCCAAAGCCTGTGAGATGACGTGTTTCAGGTAGACCTAGGATCTGTAGTTTATAGAAATTGATGGCACGTAGAGGAGATATTGGTGATGCTGTTTTCCTTTGAGTGGTCTTTCCTCTCTGAAATTCCTGTGTTCATGGTATGGCACGAGCAGGGAGAAGTTGCGGGAGGCAGACGCCGCTGATGTGTGGGCACAGCCTTGCAATACACAGAGGGAGTTGGGAGAAGGGGGAAATCTTCGCTCTCCTCATGCCCACATGTCTGTCCCAGCGCTTAGGTATTCCGGCCTCACCATTGCCCCACACCCCTGGGAGCTCTTCCTGCTCCTGGGGGCAGAGTTAAGGTTGCGTCGCAGGGCTAGACCCTCCCTTCATGTTGTGGCTCCTGTTTTTTGAAGCTTAGTCCAGTGATTTGCAACCCTTTTAGACTTGAGGCCCCCTTTGGAAAACATCAGTTCTTTGCTTTCACTCATTTTTTGACTATGGAAAAATAATAGAGCAACTCTTTTGTTACAAGAAACTCAGACAGACCCCAGCTGGGCAGTGTTTGTGACACTGTGGACTCCTACATGAGACATCTGGGTTTATCTTGTGAATCACGTGTAGATGTTTGCACACCTAGCAGTGCTTATATTGCATGGCACCATAGGGAATCCTTAAAAGGTCCTCAGGGCATCCCAGGCTGAGGATCCCCAGGACACCCTGGTTGAAGATCCCTGGCGTAGTCACTCCACAGCCAGGATGAGCATGAGACCCACTGGGCAACCCTGACTCAATATTAGGAGAGTGCAGGGGGAGAGGACAAGACAACAGAGCGGAGGTGGCAGACGGAGAGCAGAGTACAAGGAAACAGTGTGGGGTGTTGTTCCCATCAGGCGGCTGCACTTGCTTGCTCTCCAGACAGCGCAGGCCGAGTTCCCACAGCACCCAGTGCTGTGCTGTGTGGGTTGTGGGTGCAGAAAGGCACGGGGAGGGGCTGCCCTGGATCGCACCATAGGAGAAGCTGGTGCTGTTGTGTGATCTTTCTAGGATCATGTTGCCTGCCTCAGTTTCCCTGCCATGACTGCATGTGGTTATACAGTAGCAGGCAATGGGTTGCCTTTCCCCCTGGACTAGGGGAGTGTGAGAGGTGGGCTCTGAGGCCAGTG